ATTACATGCTTGAGTTCCTTGCACAGTTTGATAATATTAGCGGTACCCTTCACATTTGCATTGACGATCATATCCAATGGTTGATGGAAATTTATAGTGGCCGCAACGTGGAACACTATGTTTACATTCTCTATCAACATATCTCTGTCTTTTTGCAAAAGACCTAAATCTGGTAGAGTCACGTCGCCCTCCACGAGATGAATTTTATCGAAAATTGTTGGGTTTTGTGCTCTGACACCATCGAAAATCTGAAGAATATAATATATAAGCTCGGTTCCCAATATAGAATATTATTAAGCATACTAATTTTCTCTGTAACTAACTAATACATTTCTGACCGATCAGGAATAAATTTTTTTTTACGCAGGAAGTTAAGTTGTTAGTTTCTGTTTAACGTAGCCGATCAACAGTGTGTTAAAAGTGTATGTCTGCAAAAATACGTTGTAATTTTTTTATACGTTTCCAGACTGCTTTAAAACTTGTTCAGTATAATTACGATACTCGCATCTCATTATACAGCTAACGAAGTTTCAAAAAATGTATCTAGCCCAGGTAGTATATGCATACAATTTTGCAGTGCCTACATATTTTCGTAAGTCAGTATAAGCATGCATTATTATATTCAAACTATCATATCTCCATGTGACAATAATTTATATCAGAGAGGAAATGAGAGTACTCGCGTTTATGTTCCTGATTATTCCCGGATTAATGTTGCACCACGCGGACAATACTGGAAGATGAGACACGCTAGCATATAGAAGAATCTATATAGTTAGGGACCTGCCCTATTTGATTCCTCATTAGCGTAGACAAGTATCTACTTAGCTTTATGCGGCAAGAACCTATTTAATTGTACGGTTATACGGAAGAGCTCATATGTATTTGTCTGTCCGAGATAGGTAAGTATGAGAATAACAAAATCGTACAATAATTAGACTAATTCTGAGATGCCCAAGAAAGAGAAAGTAACTGTTTACAATGTCTGTTTTAGAGAAGAAATCGCTAAAGACGCTATGTAATTCGCTAATTTGACCTCATGAGAGAATAACTTTTCGTCGCGATGATGCTGCAGAGGAAAACTATGATGGGGCGTGTCTAAGGATACGAGATCATCGGATTCGTGGAGAGATGCCTTCGTTCGGAAAGTGAGGGAAATTGACGTTGCTGCTAATTGGTCAATTTCCATGTTGGTGGTTAGAGAAGGATGCTAGCTGTCCTTGAGGGAAGGTTGCTAGCGGGAAGCGTCGTTCGTTGAAAAAAATAGATCTCCCCTATCTTGCCGTAGTTGAGACAAAGATTGTTTGTCTGTTTGAAGGATTTTAGATAACTAAATCTTAATATTTATAACGGCCCTCGGGCTAGCTGATCATGTACTGTGGAGACGCGTCGGCATCTGGTAACCGTCATACTCGAAGAATAGGATGTGCGTGTGGCGAGCCACGGGACAGAATTCGTTGAAATGTTTACTGCAGAGTGCCGCTACAACTATTTCTTTTTAAGAAGTGCTATACTATTACTCCACACCTTTGTTAGACAAAACGTTCATCCCTTGACAGCGGCTACGTTCAACGACTGGTTGTTGCCTCCAGCCCAAGCCCACTATCATAAATCTCGAACAAATACAATCGGTTTCAATGGCGACAATTGTTTAATTACACCTAAGGTAGAATCTAAATTACGCTGTTAAGGGATTTTGCCGAAGTTCCAGAGGGAAGGCTCCAATGTCCTTTCATCTCCGACATATATTTTTTTGTTAATTGCTTATTTCTTAAATTTTCGCTGAAAGATTTCGTATCCTCGTTTCATTTTTCACAATCTTTTTTCCGTTCCTTCGCCATTCTTTCGCTGGATGTCAAATGAGACGTATCGTCTGTTCACAATATAAATGTTCATCTTAATATAATCCTCCTAATTTTAACAAAGATCAAACTCCATAGGACCAAAAATTTTCGTTAGTAACGAAAGTAAGCTGAAGTTAAACTGATCAACCTCATATAAGTCATGTGCAACCCGAAACGAGGGTGGACTGTGAGAGAGTATGTGAATAACGTGCAGCTAGTTCGGCTATTGTACATAATTATAATTATTTCGATTTGCCAAATACATATATTCTGCTTATTTTACACTCGATTAATTAATCTCACCAATAAGATAGATGAAAGTGTGGTCAATTACTTTATTTAATTACATCGTTACACAAATTAGTCATTACATTTTCACCTCTTTTCATTTTGCTTACAATCAATTAGTTCTTCTGTTTTCATCGTTTCTGTAAATGAACACGCATGTAAGATAGATATCAGAGATATCATACATTTCATCAGAAATATTATACTGTATGCAACGATTCATTATTAAAAAATTGATACTTAGGTTTTACTACAACAAAAACATTATCGCGACGAAACAGGACGCCGACAGATCGAGGCATCAACGCGGTTGTCACGGTGGCCGTGGGAATGCAGCGAAAGGATAATTATATCTCACATACCTTAGCCACCGAAACAGTAACTAAGCAGTATCGGAATCCCTATGTGACCGGCACCCAGCGATAACCCCTCCACAGGAACTAAACCCTTGATATAAAAATACCTCCCAAGTCAGTACTGGACATTCTATTCTGTTCTGTTATAACATTCTGTATCGTTACTCTGTCAGTTTCTAATAAATTTTGTAATGACGATCATAATTGAAATACGAATCTCTCACCTTACGTGCGGAAGGTGAAATTACCCCGAATCGACATGACACGGTCGTAACTCCTCCCGGGCGATCCGCGGGTACCAACCGTCAACACCAGAGGGCTACTACGACGACAACAAGTCTGTCTGTCTCGCTAGCGGTCGAATATACGGTGTCACGATACAAATACCGCACCTAGCGAAACTCCCTCTACGTCTAAGGCAGGGACTACCGGGTATAGCCTTACTTGACTGATGAGTCCACCGGTAGTCCCGGGACGAAACGCGAATTCTCTTTTCACCCGGCAGCGACTACCAACTACCGCACTGGTATTGGATAACTTATCACACAGGTCTTGGATCCTTCCGCAGTACGTGGTCGACTCCTAAGCCAAAAGAGCGTCGTTAGAAGTCGTACCAACTTAGCTTATAGGAACTAGCGATCATACCAACTTAACGTTTCTCAACAAGGGAATATTCTCCTATTTCCTCGAGAAAAAATATAGAAAATATATACATAGTAAATATAGTAGTAATCAATTTCTCTTTCTTGGGCAACCTGCAAATAGCCTAATTATTGTACGATTTTGTTATTCTCATACTTAACTATCTCGGACAGAAAAGTACATATGAACTCTTCTGTATAAATAATGTTTCAATATCTTTAATATATATACGGCTTCCAGTCTTTTAGGATTGCGACAGTATTACGTGTTTTATGATAGTAATTCTGAGAATGATAGTAAATATCTTATGATAGTAAATTATGAGAAGGGAAAAGCGTAAACAAAAACGTAATATTAATGATACAAAATTAGATAATAGATAACGTTCGAAATCTTAAACTGCTGCATTGTAAAAGTCTTCATGTGTAAGGAATCAGAAATGAAATAAAAATAAAAATAGATAAATGAATGAGTTGAAAAGCTGCACTGATTGATTTCATGAATGGGAAAGTTTGCAAAAGTGGTGATGTCAACCGCGTTTGTTGATGTGTTTGTTATTCACCTAAAAGTTCACTATTTTTTATGTCATTCTTCTTGCAGAAAATGAGCCTTTTACTGCAAAAATGTTCGCAGTCAAGAAGTTGATTATCAGTTAATGAATGATAAAATAAAAATTCTGTAGGGAATCGAGTGGGCCATTCTTAGCTTCTCTGTTATCCACCGAAAAATTAACGAGTATATTCTGACACCATTCGCGCTCAAAACAGAATAGAAGTTACTGTTCCAAGTCGCGGTGTTGAACCAAATAGGCAAGAATTGAATTATATCATATTTGCATTAATCGGCTCACATGAACTTATGAAGGTAATTTATTTGTTTCTTGGCAATTGTTCATTAATTTGAGACTTATATAATGAAATTCCAAAAAGCGAGTAGAATATTACTTACGAACCGGATCATCTATTAGCTTCTTAAATCGTTGTTCTATCGTTTGGTTACGTTTCGGCCGGATAAATATAAAAATTGCAGCGATGTGTGAAGACGTGCGTATCAGTTTTTCGAGGAGGCCTTTGCCCACGAATCCTGTCGCCCCTGTCATAAGAACTCCAGTTCCGGCATAGAAACCTTCGATGGAATTCACATTACGTAATTTTTCATTTATCTCGTTTTCATTAAGCTTTGTATTCATTGTACTAAAATCACAGGGCTTCCCCTCTTTCAACCCAAATATCTGCAAATGAATATGAAAAAATAAATCGGAAAATTAATAAATAAAGAATATCGTACAATTTTATATCTTAAATTTCTATATATGTGTTATGTTAAGAAAAAACAAAAAATCTCCAAAAAAAAAAAAAAAAAAAAAAAATCTCAAGATAATCCGTACTAAAGGAAAAATGATTCAAGGATGATAGTTTATTTCGCGAACTGAGCAAATGTGTAATTTTGTCACAATGTAGTTGTAGGGGATTGATCTTATCATGTATCACGAAATACAGTCTAATTGTTTGTGAGCAATTTATTAAAGATATTAATGCGACACAAAGCACAAGTTCAGGTAATAAGTCTTGCGAAATAAATACGCGCTATCTCAAGAAACTCCGTATATACGTCTGATGCGTCTGTATGCTTATGCTGCGATCGCTGAACTTCCTCGCTCGTCATTTCGTTTGTTTATTTATACTGGTCGGGGGACAGTCGGAAAGTTTGAACTCGACTGCGTTTGACGGTTGAAAGTAGCGGCGACATTGTTTTGCTCGGAGTTCATTACTCCTTGCAATACCTGTGACCTAACGGTCATGATACTCCGAACAAAACAACAACAGGATTTGAATTTGTCCTGCTCGCGTGCCGCTATACAGTTCATTTGCTAACTACGCCATTATATGTGTAATCATTAACATTTGACTTCTGCTTTCATTAAATATCGATACTATAACAATGTTCCTATTAACATAAAAATTTTTCATTTAAAAGATTTTTCAAATGCTAATGCGTACAAAACGCTATTTAAAAGGAGGAAAAGAGTACAAAAATTCTTGTATAAGAAATATTTCATCTCTATTATCATTCAAATAGCTTGGAATGCTTTAAACGAATATTGTAATATAACTTCCAAGTCGTTTCCTGCAAATTAATATACAGGTTCAATTAATAAAATTTACCACTTTGAAATAATTCACTTCCTGTTGATTTATTCAGAAAATATTTGAAATACAATTTATTGCATTCGAACAAACTGATCAAAAGTATATATTCTGATTTTTTTATGAACTAACTTTTCTGAAATATCAATGTGACCATGAGTTTTTTAAATGATACCGCATATTTTTCTAGTGCTCTGTTGTATCCGCCAAAAACACGAATTCAACGACCTATAACGATTGAAAAACGGGGAATCTTTCATCGATGTTATGCGATATGTAAACGTGTGTGAGTGGGGGTGTGCATTATTAGCGGTATGTGTTCCAAATCTTCTGTGGCATATATGAAATAGCAAGTAAGTGAAGATAGAGCATGTAAAATTTAGAAGCAGTAGAATTTCGAGCGTAAATTAGCAAGTTAAAGGCAATTATGCGTTTTTCCATTAATATACCATGGCAACACTATAATTTTAACAGGTTATGGACCCAGAATTTAACTATAGATCGTACGTGTGAATTTATGGAAAGAATAAAGGAAGTTAATGGAAAGGTAAGATGGCCCTATTTGGATATCAAGAAATCGAAAAGCTTTCATAGATTTCAAGATTCTAATTACGAATCGTGGAAGTTGCAAATCAAAAATTTGTAACCGTATGTTTTCGAAAAATAAAATATAAGCAATGGAAGCCTTAAAATTGAAATTAATAGAATAAACAGCAAGCTAAAACGAACGATGAATAAGGAAACTAGTAAAGACACTACATTCTTCGTGAAAGATAAAACATGTCGTAACGAAGAATTTCATTAGCGAGAGAGCCCTATTTTACGTAACCTTGTCACGTAATTTTTAGGGTTGGTTGGTGAAAATAAAATATAGTTGAGTCGTAACACAACAATTAACTTTGTTTTAATCAACCTTTATTGTGAATTCACCAATCACAATGTAACACGCACTGAATTAACATAAATCACAATTCACTCCAATCACGTTATGTAAGACTTAGTTACAACAATACATTAAGTACGCGACTTATAAGGGTAGAGACCGATATAGATATGTTGACTATTCTAAGGATACAGAATAAGTGAAGTTTTACTGATGATACTGTGTCTGAGGAAAGCTAGGGGTGGGTGTGTCTAAGGACACGGGACTATCGGATTTGTAGATGACAATTTTGGTTAAGGAAGTGAGGGCAGTAGACACCGTCTCCGATTGGATAATAAGACCAGATTGGTGGACCAGGAAGGGTTTTAGCCGCCCTCGCGAGAAAGTTGCTAACGGAACATACCAGATGTGAAGAAAACCAACTTTCTAAGCTAACACGTGATAGACAATAAACGTAAAGGGAAATCTAAGACAGGAAATACTCGCTCGGTCCGAAGGACCTTAACTATGAAATGCCAAGGCCCCTGGTGGGCACTTAAGACTATTGAGGGTGCGCACCAAGGATATGCAGACATCTGGGTGCCATACTGTCCGTGGAGTGTGGCCTGGTCTCTGATGTGAATTGACGTTACAGCTTCGGGGTTTTTCAGTTATTGCGTAACACAGCTAGCGTACGGATCTGGACTAGCTCAGATTGTATTCTTACTTATTACACTTCTATTTAAATATATATTCTTCCTTACAATTTATCCACATGTTTTCTCTGTTTACACATCGAATAAGCTCAACAAAAATAAATGTTGGAAAATATTTGGAAGGTACCTCCGCAAACAGGCAGTCTGAAATTAAATCGTAACACAGCACCACAAACAAATTCAACAAAATGTCGTCAGTCTTCACTTCGCTTTGACAACAAACTCACTTTGCATCAATATATGAAGCAAAAATAAAACATCAAACAAGTTACAAATCGACAAACTCGCTCAAATGGCAGTCAAATCGCACGTGCAAAAGATGGTAGGTGAACGAGCCAAATACTACGTGAGATAATAGATCCACCCTGCTTCGTCAGAAACGATGACATCCGCAAAGAATTACACATCTGCTCTGGACAGCAAGAAATCATATTATCCACAAAAGTATTGAGTATTGAGAAATGTTTAAAATAATACTTTGGTTTTTTAAATGAAACTATGCACAGTATTTCTGTTACACAAGTATATGGATTCTTCATAAATATACATATGTTCTCAATTCATACATATACATAAATGTACTATGTAGGTAGATGAAGTTGAGCAAAGTGCAACACTTATTATCTCACAGCTAATAAGCTGTTCCGTATACTTCCTTAAAGTATCCATTGAAGAGATTTGAAAACCAATGCCGGCACATATGCTGGCACAGGCTTTCGGCGGAGTTCACTACAGTAGGGAAGGTTGTTCTTCACGAATATCGCGGCTATTAAGCGAGTCTACCTCTTATATGTGTAGAAAAAAGTTATTCGAAATGTTGAGCTTTCCAACATATCTAAAAGTCATCAAAAGCGGTGTCTAGTCAGCTTTTTACAATTTAACAAAAAGATTAAAAAATGCTTTTATCCGGTAAATAACTTTCGTATTCTGTTTTATCATTTATAGACTGCATAGTAATTATGTTACAAAATTATAAATGCTTATGTCAACTTATACTTGCAAATATGCCATAAATTATTCTCCTTTGTAGATCATTCCATATTCTTCTTCCTGCATTAACGTCAGACAATGTATATTACTTATGACTTATGACTTATGACTTATGACTCGAGGATAGCCTTCGTTCCGAAAGTAAGGGAAATTGGCGCTGCTGCTAATTGGTCAATCTCCACATCGGAGGCTATCCTCGACGAATCCGATGATCTCGTGTCCTTAGACACACCCCATTATAGTTTTCCTCTGTGGCATCATCGGGACGAGAAAGGCATTCTCGCTCGCGATCTCATTGATGAAAAAAGTAACCCTTTACGACCAGTGAATATTACGCGTCCGACTTAGATTTTGTGAGCACGTTCATTTATCATCCCTTCGACCGCGGATTCGTTATTGAACCTAGGATCATTGTCATTAGTTTTTCGAGTACCTAACTACCACGGTTACTTGTCCGGTTCTATAATAATCGTATTTGCACTAGTCAATGTCTTCTCTAAGGCATAGCGACAACGTGTAACCCAAACGAAGATTCATTTCACGCCCCTAACCCTAATTCTAATGTACACCCGACATATAAGTTTGAAAGCTATATAATTCCAACATCGATTCCTTACAAAGAGAATCTGGAAATTTGCAATGTAAATAATTATCAATCGTTCAATTATTGCAGTTCGCGAGATACAAATATTCTTGCGATTTACTGTATTTGGATATTCTCCGTGCAATCATCAACGTGGACGGACGTCAAAGTGAAACCACGCGAGTTTGGCATTTCTCTATATATAGAACGATCTGTCAACGCGAGTATCTTGAACTAGTTCGATTATTTGCTTACGCTG